ATTCTTTACCCTCGGGCATCGGTCCCTGCCCACTGACTCCCAACCGGCGGCCTGCCCGTTGGAAAGCAGCAGGACCCGGTCGCTGGCTAGCTCCCAGTGGCTGTGACACTTCTACACACCAGGACCGAGTTCCCAGCTTCCTCCAGACACCCACGCCCACCCGCGCCCACTCAGCCGGACCCCAGCTCGAGCCCCTCCACCCGCGCCTCTAAGGCCGCCCACCCGGGAGCGCGCCCTGCGCACCGCCCACGGCTTCCCTGTCTCTCCCACACCCAGGGGCTTGCCAAGTCCACTGGTTCTGCTCAGAGTATCTTTTAAAAAATTTTACTTGTGATCCAAAAAAATCAAATTTGTTGTAGAAATTTTTAAAAATATACGCAAAAAAAATTACAATCCCTCAGAACCCCACTCCCTAGAGACGATCATATGGTGAATATATTTCACACTTTTTCTATAAAACTATACACACTGAAATAAGTGTATATTGTTTGATTAGAAATTATATATAAACAAACAATATTATATTCTATACACTGTCGCAGTGTGGGTTTATTATTTATCAACATAAGAAACCAATATAACAGCTTGCTTTTATTATCAATATAATGGGTGGTTCCCATGCAGACAGATTCACACACCACTTTAACGGCTGCACAGGGCCCCACCTGTGGCGGCATCATTTACTTCCTACCCCCTCCCACTCAACACTCACATGCTTTATACACAAACAGCACCGCACCAGCGGCCTGGCCTCCTTCCTGTTCCTACAACCCAGGGCGCCCTCCTGCCACAGGGCCTTTGCACTTGCTATTTCCTCAGGGAGACCACTCTTAGCCACCGCTTTCAACCCATGTCCGCCCTATTAACTCTTCTCACCCACACAGCCCTCCTCAGGGCAGCCTCCCCTGGCTCTCTATGGGTCCTCTCCTCCCTCCCGCCCCACCTCCCATTACTGCTCCTGGAAATGAAAACCAGTGTGGCCACTGTGGAAAACACTATGGTGTTTCCTGAGAAAGTTAAACACAGAACTACCATGTGGTGCAGCGGGTCCACTTCCAGGTACCTGACCAACAGGATCGAGAGCAGGGACTCAGACGGATCCTCACACACCCACGTTCACAGCAGCAATAGTCACAGTAGCCAAAGGTGGGAACAGCCAAGTCCCCAGCAGCAGATGAGTGATACACACACGGGTCTATGCGCACAGTGGAATCCTACTCACCCTGAAGGGATCAAGCCCCGACGTGCTCACAGCGGGGCGAACCTGCGCTATGGGAGGCAGCCGGACACGCAAGGAAAGCCTGTGCGCTCCACTGCGGGAGGGCCCCGCACTAGGCAGACTCAGAGACAGGCGTGGGCCAGAGGGTGCGGGCCCGGGAGGGGGGCACGGGGAGCTACTACGGACGGAGTTTCTGTTTGGGATGATGGAAAGTCCTGGAAATAGTGGGATGTTGCACAGCGTTGTGAATGGAATTAATGTCACTGAATTGTACACTTAAATGGTTAAAATGGTCAATATTATTAAGCTTATTTTACCACAATAAAAAAAGCAAGGTTCAGGGATTAAAGATGGCGCAGACCGAGTGGAAGCTACCCTGCCACTCTCCCGGGACCAAACTGGAATGAGAACTAAAATATAGGAAAACCACCGTGAGTAACCAACCGCAACTGAAGACAAGCACCCCCAAAACCAAGGAGGAGAAGGGGGGACCGCATAGAGATGGGTAGGAAGTTGAGAGGCATGAGAGGCCTGGCTGGGTTCCCAAGCTGAAGGTCCGGAGGGAGATCTCAGCTGTGGGGGTTCCCACTGAGGCCTCTGGGGCCTAAACCCCTGGCGGGGCTCCCCAGCCCAGAGACCAGAACTGAGAAAGGCGCCCACATAGCATCTGGCTGTGAAAAGCAGCCGGGCTTCTGTCTGCCAGGGAGAGGCGGCTGGAAATGCAGGCCCCTCAGAAAGAGTTAATGCACGAAGTTTCCTGTGCAGCCTCTCACCTCGGGCTCCAGCGGAGGGAGGGCAGAGTGGACTGCGGCTGTGTGAGGAGAACCTAGGGCTGTGGGCCCTGGACATGGAGATCAGAGGGCACCCCTCTGGATCCCTGAGCCAAGTCATTCCCCCAGACTGCAGAGGACATCTTTCACAGGCAGGCATTTACCTTCTAAGCAGCTTTTGCCTGGGGAGGGAAGCCATTGCCCCACCCTGCTGGAAAACCTCTCTCCCCACCCAGAGGAGTTTCTACAGCCTGAGGCTCATTAAGAGAATCAGGTTAATCAGCCTGCTGGCAGAGGCAGACCTCAGAGTGCTTTGAGTCTTTGCCTGATCTGCTTCTGGACCCAGGCCTTGGAAAAGCAGACTTTTGTGTGCATCTTGGTCCTGTCCAAATGTACCCAGCCCCAACAGAGGAGACTTCAAACCGAGGGTTGTTAATAGCTCCAAACAGGGTACTCAGGGCCAGTCACCAACTGCATCTGACATTGGCCTGCACAGAGACCCTCTAAAAAGACTGAGAGTCCTAGTAGATCTACCTAATACGTAGAAACAAATCCAAACAGGCAGCCAAAATGGGGAAACAGAAAAACATGCCCCAAGTGAAAGAACAAGAGAAGTCCCCAGAAAAGG